TTTGATGTGTGTAAAAAGTGAGCTTCTGGGTAATAATGGTATTGAAACTCCATTGCTCTTTCCATCTGGAGTGTACAGAATGATCAGTGATTTTTGCTTTCCTGAAAAACTGGAAAGGGTTTGTAGAACAGAAAAACTACATGGCAGACTGCAGTAATCTTGAAAGAGAGCCAAGACCTACAAGCAAGTTGAAAGGCAATGTTTCTGATCAGTTCTTTGATTACGGATCTGCCAAAGCCTGCTGCTTAAGGAAGATTTAGAATAAAAAAAAAATATTTACTCTTTAATTTTAGGTCCTGGTTTTCTACAAGATCGCTTCTGTCCATGAAATGGTCATATAACCAGGTATTTTGTTTAGAAAAGGTGACTGCACAGGACCTACAGTTGATAGGGCAATTCTACAAAGACGTATGTTTTAGTCTGATTTTCTTAACACACAGATGTCTAAGAGGAGACAATCTGTCAAAAGATAATTCTCTAGTGGCTTCTGCTGATGATAAACTTTTCAAAGTGACACCTATAGAACACAATTTCTTTTCATTTGTATCTTTTTTATTGTAGAAAATAAATTCATTTTAGTCTAATGTAAAAAAAAACCCACACAACACGTGCCACCAAACAACTCTGTTCAGAAAGTCCACAGAACCTGCTTTATAAAATTATTTAAAGTTTCACTGAATGCAAATTCTCTACAGTCTGCTATCATACTAGCACACCTGTAGATGTGAACTATGACAGGCAACAAAGCTGATTAATACATGATCTTGTAAGTCAGCTGAGTGCTGGCATAGAACGTGTTATTCAAGGATTTCAGTAACAGTCTGTGCTCTGTCTAGCTGAAATTATTTCTATCCCACCTAACTTTTTTGGACTTTAGTAAGATACAGTTTAAAACCAGGAAAATTCTGTATCAGCCAGATGTCTGTACTTGATTTAAACACCTTTTGATTGAAAATATAAGCACTAAATATACAGAACAGTTATATTAGGTCTCCTGTTCCCTGACAGCCAAGTACAATGCACAAGACGGACAAGAGACATACGTGGTCCAACAATTAGCTACAGATTACCAGGGGAAAAAAAAACAAACCCAAACCAAACAAAAAAAAGTCTCAAGAGAAAACTAAAGCTGTAAAAATTTACATATTTACATTGCGCATAAAAATTCAGTTAATATAAAATTAATATGCAAGTTACAGCAAGCACCTGGAAGTGGATAATGACAGGAGGAAAAATAAGGAATGGCAATTTCATCACAGATAAATGCTAGAATTAGAGCTGAATGCTGATTTACCTAGAAATTGCAAATAGTCTCAACTGTGGAACAAAATGTTAGATTAACACCAGTTCAGACAAATGTGACATAATGGATGTCAATGGGAAAATCGAAGTGTAATTATACTCAAGAAAGATAATGAGTTGGCACAAGAAATAATTGATTTTACCCCCTATGTCTTGACCAAGCACCATAGACAAGCCATCTGCTTTACACACAATACTGATAAAAATTATAAACTATTTATACCAGGACATACAGACAATATGATAGTATAACATGGCATATATAACAAGCATCCTGGGCTGCATCAAAAGAAGCATGGCCAGCAGGGCCAGGGAGGTGATTCTGCCCCTCTACTCTGCTCTGGTCAGACCTCACCTGGAATACTGTGTACTTTGAAGCCTTCAGCACAAGAAACATATAGACCTGCTGGAGGGGGTCCAGAGAAAGGCCATCAAGATGATCAAAGGGCTGGATCACCTCTGCTATGAAGACAGGCTGAGAGAGTTCGGGCTGTTCAGCCTGGAGAAGAGAAGCCTCTCAGGAGACCTTATAGCAGCCTTCCAGTACCTGAAGAGGCCACAGGAAAGCTGGGGAAGGGCTTTTCATCAGAGAAGACAGTGATAGGACAAGGGGTGATGGTTTTAAACTGAGAGAGAAGAGATTTAGGTTAGGTATTAGGAATAAATTCTTCACTGTAAGGGTGGTGAGCTACTGGAGAAGCATCAGCATGCTGATGCCCCATCCCTGGACGATTTTATGGCCAGGTTGGATGAGGTTTTTTGCAGCCTGGTCTAGTGGTAGTGTTCCCTGCTCATGACAGGGGGGTTGGAACTAGATAATCTTTAAGGTCCCTTCCAACCTTAACAATTCTATGATTCTCTGATTCTATAACCTGACAATAGTGAATATGTCAGTGCCTCGAAGAACTATCTTCCTATTCAGGAAAAAAACAAACCTGAAGGAAACTAAAAGCCCAAATAAAACATTACTTCACAGTTCTAATATATATATACACTAAGTTTGGAAAGAAATTATTCAGCATTTATTAATTACTTTCTTTCATGAAAAAATTACTACAAGAAATCTTTTCTAAATGGTCATTAGCCATTACTGAACATTTTCTTCCAAGATTAGATACGTTAATTCCAAAGCCTAAACTAAAATTCCTTGAAGGGTCACTGGTACCATCTGCTAAATTTCCCCTGCAATATCAGCTGGAGACAACTTTCGAGTGTTCCTTCTATAGAGATCCTGCACTGTAGTGTGTTGCTCATGTCTCTCTTGGTTTTGTTCTTATATTTATAGCAGTTATATTTCAGCAGTAAGTTAAATTATTCTAATTTATTCAAGTTTTCTTTTAAGTTAATTAATAGATGATAGACTTCTCCAAAACTTATTAAAATAAAATAAAGATTCATAAGTTGTTTGATTCAAGATGTGTCAGAGAATACCTGTAAGAAGGAGTCAGCATTTCAGTATCATTATTTTATTGTTCTAGAATATCCTGGAAATGCTTCTTTATCACAAAATTCTTAAATGTACAGGATTTGTATTCTTATCAGTAGCAAGGATTTTGCTGCAGGTATAACTAACATCCTCAGGCTGCTGGTTTTCACATTACTTAATAAAACCACCATCATCATGCTAGGTAGTAGGTCTTTAAAGTCTTGCAAATTAAGAATGGACAACAGAAGTGAACCTCTGTGAGGGTACACTGTTGTCACTAGGACACTGCAGAAATCACATGTAGTAAACCTTCAGATTGCAAACTTTTGAGAGTCTGTAAGAAATGAGGAAAAGAAGCTTAAAATTGAAACTGACCTTCACAAGTCAGAAAATTAATCTGAAAAAATACAGTACAGTAAGAAAAGTGTAAGCATGAAGGGAGTTGATTATATAAAGTGAAGATGGGGAAAGCACTATGCAGGGTTCTGTAGAACAAATCTGGAGGTTCATGTTTAGAAAATTAGACATACTGGGGTATTTAAAAGGGACTGCTGCATGGAATACGTCTTTATTTTATACTCCCATACTACTCTACTCAGCTCTAGCAAAAACTGCCCAGTTTCACACACAATGCTTATGGACAGACATGAATCAAGTGGAGAGGGGGAGCATGAAAGCAAAATAAAAACAGCCAGAGGCCTTAAAAAGGGAGGAAGATTGAGAGAACTGGGTGTGTTTAGTCTACAGATAACTTTTTAATGGCAAGAGTGTTTAAAAATAAGGTTGACTTGCTTTGGGAGCTTATAGAACTCCATCTCTGAAGGTTTTCAGGCATGAATCTTGACCAAAAGTAGATAAAAAGGTTTGAAATTAACATCTTTTTAATTAGCATCTTTTCTGAAGGAAGGGAGATAGACTAGATTAGCACCCCTATCCTACTCTCAAATTACTGGAAACCAATACAGATTAGGTAAACTCTCTGAAATTCCAGCTGTGATGGATGTATGCAAGATACTGAGATCAAGAATGCTGGACCATCAGAGCCAGGTCCTAGTCCCAATACTGCATGGAGAGATCTAAGGAAAAGTTGCTTCTATCAGCTGTATGTGAACTGCTCCAGTAGTTTCTCCTCTTGGCCTTCTGCATACAAAGTATGTGCTCATTGCTGCCACTCAAGTGAAGTTGTTTATGAGCATCTTGTGGGGGTCTTGTATGTCTGTCATTCTTGGTGCAACCTGTCCTATAGAACCTCAGTGATGGATTCAAATTGATCAGGGGAGTATCTCTAGTTCAAAGCGATCACATCTGTCTTCTCACTTTCTAGATTGGACTGTTCCCAACTACAGCAGTCTTTCTCTTACATTTCCTAAACCTCTGATCTTCTCATTACTAGAAAGGTCTCTCCAATCTACCCATGTAAACCCACATTTACTACTTATAAAAATTAAAGTACAAATTTCTCAAAAACTATGACAAACATAATAATTCTTTAAAATATAAATTACCAACTGACTTCTAGCAAAGAAACAATGGCAAGAGTTTCAAGTGTGTGTTGCCAATTTGACAAACATTGTAGTTGCTCAAGTATTGGTTCCCTGGGGATGTAACTCTTCTGCCATCAGAATTAAAAGGTACACCACAGTCATTACACTGCCAATCTTCTTTTAATAGTTATATATAGGATGTTTGAAATGATAACAGTGGTGCTCTAGAAGGAGAAACCTACACATGGACACCTATTATTAATACATTGTGTTGTAAGAATCAGTCCCTCTTTAGCAAATATAAAATATATATGTTGCATGGCAAACTCAATTTTCCATATATCCATAAAACTTTCTTCATGAAAGGGAAATATTTGTTTCTCCATAAATAAAATTATGCATTAGAGTTCAAGCCAGAGTAAGTTTTGTAACTACTTTTCAATATGAATGACTTGAGCCTGTTACCTGTGAATTGTAGAAGAATGACTTAAATCTGGTTCACAGTTTAGTCTTTAAAAAAAGCTATTTTGAATCTAACCTCTGTAAAAATATATGGTATAATATGTCAACTGGTAACATAATTGAAAAATTATAGTGGCATACAGACATATACACAAGTGGTTCTTACAGCTTATGTGCACTGTCCTCTGAAGTATTTTTCTAGAACCTTTTGTGAGTATCAAAGACAGAATCCTGCTATCACTGAAGACAACTTTCTGTTTGCTACTGATTTATCTGATAAACTACAGAGCAGAAATGTGTTGTGATTCAATTAAAAACACAGCAGAAGAAACAAGTATTTCCCTTTATTAATATATATCTGTTTATCATACAATCTATCAATATTTACATGGACATTGAAGATTTAATACTAGAAATAAGCAAATACTCTATCATAAAGTAATATATATTGTTGTCACTTATTAGGCGGAATCTGCATTTGAACCACAGCAGAATTGATTTCAAGTATTCCAGGTTGATTTTAAACCAGTTAGCAGCAAGGTAACACAATATTAAAAAGTGATTATGAGAGATTTGTCTTCTTAATATATATTTTATGTTTTTCTTACTCCTTGGCCAGTTGTACATTGGTCGGTTTTGCTCCAATGGGTATCCCATATTTGTGCAAAGTGTTGACTAAAATTTCACGCATTTCGTTGTTGTAGGAATCAAAGTCAAATACATTTCGAACAACACTTGCCAGTCCTTCAGATGGAAATTTCTGTGAAGAAACAACCACAAATTTCTTTTACTGAATACCTGCTAAGTTACAGCACATAAATAAATACTTCTAAAATGAACAGTTATAACAGTAGCTTTTCTCAACTTAGACTAGTGCTCAAATTGCTTTTGTTAGTTTTCAGAAAAAAGAAGGTACATTGCTTCGAGACAGAATTAAGTTACTGAGAATAAATCTGAGTTAAACAAACAAGCAGGACACAATTATTTAAATACTTAACATTGTTCATGTTTTAAAGATTTGCTTTCATTATACACGTAACAAGATGGTGCAACCACTGGAACATATAATTAAATATACCTGTATTTTTTAAATTTGAAATGTTTCTTGCTAACCATGAAGATCTGACACAAATACAACTATTCACACAATTAAATTATACAATTAATTGAAGAATTCTGATTCTTAATGTTGAACATAGAAAAGCAGAAGATACACTGCTTACTTACTAAGAGGTGAATTTCAGTAGAAACAGAAATTCACCTAAGATTTGCAAACATTTGTTTCTACTTGAAACGTGCTTTGTACATTAAAAAAACAACAACAAGGGTTTATCAAATCTTCATTAGTGTTTCTAACAAAGGGCTCCTGAACCAGACAGGTGGGGTTTTCAATAGTGGAGTAGAGAGGGTAAATCAGCTCCCTCAACCTGCTGGCTACACCTCTTTTGATGCAGCCCAGGACACAGTTGGCAAGCACACATCGCCGGCTCATGTTGATCTTCTCATTAACCAGCATCCCCAAGTCCTTTTCCTCAAGACTGTTCTAAATCCATTATCCACCCAGCCTGTATTTGTTCTTGGGATTGCTGAAACCGAGGTGCAGGACCTTGCACTTGGCCTTTCTGGACTTCATGAGGTTGGTATGGGCCGAACGGGTTCAACGTTTGAGTTGAACATTTAAAAAAGTAATAATTTGCTTTCTATTGATTTTTAAAACCAGATTACTGGAGAAAATATTGATCTCCCAGTCTCTCTGGTTCTCATTTCTCATTCATTGATTCTTCCCTTTACAAGTAACACCTTGGAGTACTTTCACAGCTTATATTCTTGGCTGTTCCTTAAAATAATAAGTAACATAGGTTTTGCTTTTAACAATTTGTATTTTTTATACTTTATTTGATATAGAGTTGTGACAGGATTTGGGTTGGTGAAAAATCCCTATTTTTATGGATCTAACTTTCTATGAGTACATGTATTGTTATAGTCTGCTTAAAACCTATCAGAGAAACAGTATTTTCCTAGTACAAATACAGAATGCTAACTAAAATTTGCTATACACATTGAGGTCTACTGTAGTTCTACGACTACCCTGACA